AAGAACAGGGAGAGTTGCATTGTCTGAAAGTAAATATCCTCGTTTGTGATAAGATTCTGTGTATAATTTTCTTAGTGAGCTTGAAAAATAAGTCAGAGCACCTTTGTGACAGATTACACCTTTTCTGCTAAGGAAAAGCTGCTGGGATATAACTTTTATTTTCATTAAAAGTTTTGTTGAGTTGTAGCTTAGGTATTTTGTATGTCGTATGCACATTGTATTTCATGCTCGTGAATTTAATTAACAATGTAAGTGCAAAGTGGTGACTTATCTGTCTTTAGTCAGTTTCGTAAAGTCATGCATATACTCATTGATTTTTCATAAAAAAAATAGGACATCTTAAAGCATCCATGACTCATTTAACAGAACACACCTCACCTTGTGCATCTTTGAGGTCCCACTGGATTGTTCTAAATCAAAGGCATGGGAATTCGCAAAGCATTCCAACCTCCTTTTGATTAATGGAGGGTCTTTCTCAAACACTGAGGGTAGTATCACTTAGATCCCTACTCATCGGTGTGGGAGTGGGTTAGGAAACCAGAGGACAGAACCATCTTTACCCTACCGTGACTCACTCCCTCTTTGCTATGTATGATTTGTGTGAGCTTTTCATTCCAGCTGCAAATCCTCATGCACCCTCCTCTTTGCCAAACTTTCTGAGAAAGAGGAAGGTGTCTGTCTAAAAGACGAAAGACAGATGGACGTATGGGAGGACAACAAACAGGCCTGTTCCAAAAGGATTTTGTCTTTGTATACATACAAGCCACAGAAGGCCCACCAAAGTTCTGTTCCCATTTCTCAGTGCAACATGGGGTTATGTGCAAGACAGGAATAATTTACAGAGAATTAGGGACACGTTCTTTATCAGTCCAGACAGAGAATGTAATTCCAGAGATAACCACGGTTTTACAGTGTTCTTTAATAGATCATTTCACAGGTCAACTTTTAGGTGTCCCACACAATTCAGAAGAATGGCAGCAAAGAGTAAAAAAAGAAACCCATTGTTTGAGCACAAAAATACTTCAAGCTCCAACATAGTTTGTGGTAGTAACGGCATAAATATTACAAAAACAGCTGCATGGTGACTCACTAAGAAACCAGGTAATGACACACAACTCGGTGGTGAGATCAGTGGCCTGGAGACCACTAGGAAAGCTTTAGATGTTATAGGATTGGCATTTTCCACTGTTTTGGAGACAGTTGTCTGACTTTTTTTAGTGCATATCCTCTGCAATACTTTGCAGGAAAAGTACGTAAACACGGTCAATCTATTGTGAAAAGAGCTCTTGACTCTGATGAACAGCTATCTTATGTTGGTTATAGTCACTGGAATGGGATGTTATTGCTCAGAACACTAGACTGTCCGCTTCACTGGAAAGACCGTTCTCCTTGCCGTGTGTAAAAGAGAAACCTAAAAAACGTTTTGCTTTCTTTAATAGGAAATTGTCACCAAAATAAGTTACGATTAAAACTACACGAGGTCTCTTTTTATATCATGTTTTCATGCTTTTTTTTTTAGGTTTTGCTTGTAAAATCCTTGAAAAAATGCTGTAGTACTCAGCCATTTCCCTTTCCTTCATATTCATATAAGGATTGATCACAATCTATTTCGAGATAGTTATCAACATGTTGACAGCTGCTGATGAGCCATTAACAGGAATGATGTAATAGCAATCCCATCATTCCGATACTTTTCAACAGCTTTTTTTTGTTTTTCATTTTTGGTTTGGTGGAAAAGGACTCTATACCTTACCTAAAACCATGAAGCTTAAGCAAACTCTGGAAAATATATATCGAGACATTAACGGAACAATACAGACCCCTAAAGCACTTCAGGTAACTGCACCCCTTGTCCGCATTCATAAAAGTGCTGAGTTCAAGATAAAAATTGGCATTTTTATTAATTGAGTAGCACCGCCTTACAGGCAGACTGACAGTGAAGGGGAGTTTCCTGATTCACGCTGCTAGAGCGATAGTTCAAATTGAAGTGAGAGCTTCCATAGGGAAACATAAGTCTAATGCGTCTCTATAAAAATAATTCTATTGGGCAATAGCCTTATTTGATTGAAGAATGTCACAGGTCCAGATACGGAAACTGGGACCCCTGATTGCCTGATGAGAAGTTCAGAGTCTTCAGCATGGAAGTGGATTATCAGAGCCTGGTGCAGGGTAACCACGTCCTCTGGCGTTGAGCACCAGCATTTGCGCGGCCACATACCAGAACCCTGATGCAGCTATAGCGGATCCCAGGAACTAGGAGCTTGATATGCAGACCTCCCAAGAACTGGATAGGGGGGCTCTACAGCAGACATGTATCCAGTACAGAAACAAGGCAAGACTAGAACAGGCACCAAACATAAAAACAAGACAGAACTAGTAGAACCCAGAACCAGAGAAGGATAGGAAGCTAAACCCAGAACATGTACACAAATACATAAGGGAACATTAACTAAACAGGGGCAGGACAGGACAGGACTGTACAATGACTGGGAATACAAACTAAAACAAGACAAGATATGATAGGCAAAACAAGAGGAGACATAGCTAAGCACTATATATGAAAAGTATGGGGATTTAGTTACATTATATGATAATACATTGCATAAGCCTACCACAACGCCAATGTACCCCATATTCGGCAGGTCCTACACTGCCTAATGTTCGCTAAAAGAACCATACTAAACCACAATAGCACTTATCTTCAAGAAAGGGCAGAGACTTGAAACACTGCTGCAGGTCCAGACTGAAACAAAAGGAAAATGGAAAAAAAACAGGTGTGGCAACATAAAACAAACATTTAAAGGAAACCTGGACATTGGGAATTCCAGGGACGGATTACAGGAATGAACCCAGAAAAACCCAGCATAAAGAAAACCAGACATAGAATAGAAAACCAAAAAAAACAAGAAAAACTAAACAAGAATTGTAAAAAGAGTACTGGATACCAGAAACCAAAGCCAGACTGATCCGCAGAACAAGGCATGATGTGACAAAGAAATTGTGGCATTAGCTGCGCGTGCGCCAATTTCATCCATACAGGAAGGTTGTTCTCACTGTCTGTCTCTCGGGGTCATTGACCATTGGTTTAAAAGGAACACTCCAAACCTTTAAACTGAATATTGGTTTTGTAATGTTGGAGCAGAGTAAGTAGACCTACTGCACACTTATCAAATTTAACAGCACAAATGTCTTGATAAACCATAATTTGCAAAGTGTTTACGTATGAGTAGAACAAACACTTATGGAAGCAATGTTACCAAACGATTCCCGCGTGATCAGTGATAGTAAATAAATAGCAGATAAGCATTGTATTGCTAATGCCATGAAGCAAAATCGATAGCACAGTAAATACACAAGTGCACTGTACCTAAAACAACATTGAAAAAACATTCATGTGTATCAAGGTCAACTTGGAACAGAACATGTTAAAGACACACTGCACTATATGGAGGGTAAGGCAGGCAGGCCATATCTTTCCAATTTGGATCCATTTTGTTAGTCGTTAACCTTGTAAACTCTGAGTATTCATTTTGAGATTGTGCTATTTAATGATATTGACTGAAGATAAGCCTGATTTTAAGTTGATAACTTATTATCTTTGCTGGTATTACCAGTAGAAAATCATTGAGACATTTTTGGAATGAGTCTACGTTGGACACACACTCAAAGCTTGATGAAGTTCAAAAACATTATTAATTGAATAAGCCAATACATTTGGGGAGGAGTGAGGGTGCTACTGATGTGTCATATGACTTTTTTTTTTTTTTTAGATGTCCAGAATTAGGGTAACTAATGCATGCCGTGCTGAGTTCAGGGTAGACAGAATATACACATCACTATGGCAACATGCTAAGGGTAAAAACAAGCTGGGCTGAGGGCAGGGTAGCAGGAGGCCAGAGCAACCCAAATACATGCATTATTATAGTCATAAGCTGTGACCAAGGAAATTGTTATACAAACATTGCATGAGTCTCAGTTCATTGCTGGAAGAATACCTGCACAGCTTGGGTCACAAGATCGTGGCAGGGGGCTGGAAGGATTTTTGGATATATTCAACTGTGTGTTCCTTAAACTGAAGACCATGGTGGAGGGGCTTCTATTTCCTCCTTAACCCCATTCTTTCTGTTTCTTATCCTCTCTTTTGAATGTCTTACCCCTTTTAGTGTATCTTATCCCCCTTTTGCCTTACACTCCCCTTTAGTATATCTTATCCCCCCACTTTTTCCCTTTGTGTGTCTCTTACAACCCCCCCACCACCATGTGCATCTCTTACTTCTCTCCAGCCCCTTTGCATGTCTCGACCCCAGCCCCTTTGTTTCTCGTTCTCCCCTTCCCCATCCCCTCTGTGGGCCTCTTCTCCAGCCCCCTTTATGTATCTTTCTCCCCTTCTCCATCCCCGCTAGGTCACTTTCTCCCCTTACCCCATTTGTGTATCTCTTTTTTCCCCATCCCCTCTATGTCTCTTTATCCCCTCCATTCTATGTGGCCCTGCAACGAACAGGAGGCCACAGGAACCCTGGACAGACTGAACATCCCCAGGACGGCACTCGACACTCCGACACCCTCAGCAGAGCCCACAAGCAGCCTGAGAAGGGATGCAGCCAGCGCACCAGAGTTTATACCAAGACGACCCCCCGCAGAGCCCTATGCAGCAGCCACGACCTGAACTGGGAATCTAAACCTCAAAACACCCATTAAGTTGCTGTCCCACATCTGCAGACAACAATATATGATAACCAAATTATTTACACCAACAGATAAAAACAAAAAGGATAAAATACAGAAGTCCTAATTACTTAGGTTTTCAAAGTACAATTTATGTCCAGGGGATCTCTGGCAAGGAAAGTTGGTGACTCACTCAAAATTAGATCTTGGCCCCAAGCAAGTACACCAGCACCCTTCAGAATAACAGGAGATATACTCTGTAAATTACTACGCCCCATCCAGGGGTGGAGCCAAGGCGTACCTATAGAGATACTAAGTGACCACCTCCTTTGTTCCAGAAAACAACAAGCCACATATAAACTTTTGGTTTTATCTCCTCTACTGTACTTGCCACAGAAATAATAATTGCCTCTATGAATTTGTTATTGTTTTTATTCCATAGACATGTTGCACAAATGGAAGAGGAAGAAGAGGAGGACAGGGACTGAGATAGCAGGTTCCTCAGACTACCATCAACCTCAGCCATCCAGCTCCAGCTGGACCCCAGGGAAGCCACCCTTCTATAAAGGTAAGGAGACAGGAGGGTGGCTAAACTATGTAAATTGAATTATAGATAAATAGATATATGTTGTGTACCTAGGTCTGAGTCAGTGTGTATCTGGCTGTGTGTGTGTATCTTGCTGTGTTTTTGTCAGTGTGTGTCTGAGTCAGTTTGTGTCAGTGTATGTATCTGACTGTTCATGTATCTGACTCTATGTGTGTGTGTGTCTGGCTGTGTTTTTGTCAGTGTGTATATCAGACTGTGTGTTTGTATCTGGCTGTGTTTGTCAGTGTATATATCTGACTGTGTGTGTGTAACTGGCTGTGTTTGTGTCAGTGCATGTGTGCCTGTGTGTCAGTGTGTATGTGTATCTGTGTGTATGTATACCTGTGTCTGTATATGTGTACTTGTGGGTCAGTTTGTATGTGTACCTGCATGTCTGTGCATGTGGCAATACATACATCCAATCATTCCAGTGCCATCATTGCACACAAAAACACTACTACATTCCAAATACATTGTGCTCAAATACACCACTGCTGGTGTATCTGTGATCCTGTGTGTATCTCAGTGTTTGTGTAAGTGTGCATCTGTGTGTGTGGCAATGCATACATACAGGGCCGGACTGGCCCACCGGGATACCGGGAAATTTCCCGGTGGGCCGGCACACTAGGGGGCCGGTGCGCGGCCGCCTAGTGTGCACCAGCCCGGGCTGCAATTACAGGGTTGCCGGCAGGAGGGAATGCGCTTCCCTCCTGCCGGTCACAGAATGTAGTGTGGCCGAGCAGGCAGACCGTGGTAGGGGAGCTTCTGTTCCCCTACCCGGTCTGACAGGAACCTGCAAGAGAGAACGCTCCTCCCGCGAGCAGGCAGGTTGGAGCGTTGCTGTGCGTTACCATGGCAACGCTCCGACCTGCCTGCTGTTCTTGTGGGAGGAGAGCGAAGTCAGCCTGCGGCCAGAGGAGCTGCAGGCTGAACAGCACGCTTCACCACTGGACCACCAGGGATCGAAGAGTGGCCGTCCCCCCTCTCCCCTGACCAAAGGTAAGGGGGAGGGGGTAAAATGAAGCTTTTTTAAAATATATATCAATGCCCATACACACACTACATACCCCCCCCCATACACACACCACCCCCTCCCCTCCACCAACAGCACCCCCCCACCAACAGCTCCCCCCACCAACAGCACCCTCCCCCCCACCAACAGCACCCTCCCCCACCAACAGCACACTCCCCCACCAGCAGCACCCTTCCCCCCACAGAACCCCTCCGCCACAAAGCACAGAACCCTCCGCACGCACAGAACCCCTCCGCAGAACCCTCCACGCCTCACAGCGCACACACAGAACCCCTCCACGCTCACACAGAACCCCTCCACGCTCACACAGAACCCCTCCACGTACACAGAACCCCTCCACGTACACAGAACCCCTCCACGCACACACAGAACCCCTTCACGCACACAGAACCCCTCCAAGCACACAGAACCCCTCCACGCACAAAGGACCCCTCCACGCACAAAGAACCCCTCCACGCTCACAGACCCCCTCCACGCACACAGAACCCCTCCATGCTCACAGAACCCCTCCACGCACACAGAACCCCTCCACGCTCACAGAACCCCTCCACGCTCACACAGAACCCCTCCACGCTCACACAGAACCCCTCCACACTCACAGAACCCCTCCACGCACACAGAGAACCCCTCCACGCACACAGAACCCCTCCACACACACACAGAACCCCTCCACACACACACAGAACCCCTCCACACACAAACGGCACTCTCTCCACACACACACACTAAACCGCTACACACACTGCACCCCCTCCAAATACACACCGCACCCCCCCACACACTGAACCCCTACACACACTGCACTCCCCACACACTGAACACACACACTGCACCCCTCACTGTAGTCTGTGTGTGTGCGTGTATTCACCAGTCTGTGCACGTTCACCAGTCTGTGCGCGTGTAATCACCAATCTGTGTGTATATTCCGCAGTCTCTATATGTGTGTATTCAGCAGCCAATGTATATATTCAGCAGTCTGTGTGTGTTTTTTGCAGTTTGTGTGTATTTAGCAGTCTGTCTCTGTGTGTAAGTATTGTATTTGTTGGAGGTACCAATAAATATAAGCCTAATTTTATTGATAATTTATATTTTTATTTCTTTGAGTGGTTGCATAGTCAGGGCCCCAGTGCATTGGTTTGCCCAGTGGACTATTATGCTGTTACGATGGCCATGGTCTAGGGTATGTGTGTGCTCTGATGATCATGCTCCTACAAAATGTAAATGAAAAGACACTCATTTGAGTACCAGGAAGGGGATGAACAGTAACAGCCACTTCTGGCCAAGAAGAGATTAAAAACTTATGTATTTCTCTGTTTTTTTTGTTTGTTTTTTTTTGCAATTTTTGTATCGCTAATGGGTGTCCAATTTTTATATTTTCAAAATCTGGTCACCCTAGACATATGGAAGGTTGAGAGGGGGCATAGGGACACATGGAGGACTGGGAGAGAGGGCTAATAGGACATATGTGGGGGCTACTGGATTATATGCAAATGCACGTCTGCGTCTGCTTACAATAAATCTGCTCTGCTTTATTCTGAAGCCCTATAAGTGCTTTCTTTCATGTTTGAGTGCTAGTTTTCAGTTTTTTTCCCGCTTCCATATCTGCGCACTATGCTGGCGCGATGCATTACGGGGCTGGTATGGAATTTTTTTCCAGGGCTGCTTTTCATTCCCAGTCCGGCCCTGCATACATACCAGCATTCCTATGCCAACACTGCACACAAATACACCCCTGCATGTGTACCTCTGTGTATGTGTGTCTGTGTGTATCTGAGTGTGTGCACATATCTGTGTAAGTGTGTATCTCTGTGTGTGGATGTGCCAGTGTTTTTATATCTGTGTGCATCAAAGTGTGTGTATCTCAGTGTGCGTGTATGTGCTAGTGTGTGTGTATACGTGTCAGTGTGTGCATGTATCAGTGTGTATGTATATCTGTGAATGTATAGAATGTATGTGCACAGTGGCGTACACACAATCCATGGGGCCCCGGTGCGAAACTGATCCGTGGGCTCCCCCACCGCCCTATTCCCGCCCCCACTCCCTATTCCTCCCCACAGACACACACACACATACATACAAAGACACACACATACACACAGACATACAAACAGACAGGCACATATATATGCATACAGACACACACAGACACATACATACAGACTAACACACACACACATACAGACTGACATACAGGCACACAGACCGACATATACATACAGACAGACACACATACACAGACATACAAACAAACAAGCACACACACACACAGACATACAGGCAGATATACACATACAGACACACAGACAAACACACATACATACAAAGACATACAGACACACACACACATACAAACAAACAGGCACACATACATACAGGCAGACACACACATACATACAAACACACACACACACACAATATTTAAGTCACCCACCTGTTTCTTACCTTTTAGGTGCAGGAGGGTGACTGGGGTCCAGTGGTGGCTCAGGTGGATGGGAGTCAGAGTTCCCACTCTCACTCCCTGGTCTTCCTCCCGCACGGCTCTCAGTGTTAGCTGGGAGGAGTGACGTGCAGTCACTTCCTCCCAGCTCTGTGATGTAATCACAGGGGGCCCGGTCGCACTGTTAAAGCCAGAACGACCCAGGGTGTTCAAAATGGGGCATGTCCAGTCTTTTGTAGTAGCCACTTAGCCACAAACGCTTAGCGTTCAAAAGTTAGCAAAAACTGCACTTTTATTGGTGATTTCATCGTTGTGATAAGTTTTACTGTTTTAAACACTCATATTTGTGTTCTGTGAAGTACATGTACATGTTCATGTTTTTATGGTGTTTTGGAAAGTTACAGGGTCAATATAGGGCTTGCCCAATTCAGTTTGCCAGATTGGTTTGCTGGGTCTATGTTGCCTGTTGAGACCATATGTGAATGTGAGTTAACCCCATCATGGCATACCATTTTCAAATGTAGACAACCCAGGGTATTCCAAATAGGGTATTTCCAGTCTTTTGTAGTAGCAACTTAGTCACAAACGCTGGCCAAAGTTAGTGTTTTTATTTATTTGTTTTTTGAATTTTTTACTAGTGATATCATCGTGATAAGTGTTACTTTTTAAAACACTCATATTTGTGTTCAGCGAAGTCTCCCGAGTATAACAATACCCTGTCAGGATTACTGTTTGATCCAGCACGTAGAACTGTACAGCACGGATGACAAATAAGTAACGTATTACCGGTCCTTAGAATGGCCGGATTTAACGTACAAAGAATAGTCAAAAATACTAGCCGAGGTCAGGGAACACAGAAAGGGACACAGCGATGAGAAAAGCCAGGAGTCAGGATACCAGAATATAGAGAGTCAATAAACAAAGCCAAAGTCAAAAACCAGGTAGAAAACTATAAACAGGAACGCGCTCTCAGACAACCACAAGGGAAACCACGACAGGGCACTGAGCAGGCTGAGAACTGGGCCTAAATACCCCTCCTTTAGTTCTGATAGGCTGTAACCGGCCTTTGACCCCAAAGTCAGTTACCAGGTTTCATTTGCATAATTGCTGCTCAGCATTAACCCTTCTGTGGATTAGGTTGCTGCTCGGCACAACTTTTCCTGTGTGGACAGTAAATGTCATTAATCACTTTTCTCTAAGCGGATGAATACATGACACCAGGTTTCATTTGCACAATTACTGCTCAGCATTAACCCTTCTGTGGATTAGGTTGCTGCTCGGCACAACTTTTCCTGTGTGGACAGTAAATGTCATTAACCACATTTCTATAAGCGGATGAATATGTGACATTACCCCCACCTGAAGAACGCCCACCGGGCGGACAGGACCAGGCTTGAGAGGAAATTTAGCGTGAAAAGCGCGGATCTTACGGCCCGCATGCAGGTCAGGAGCCGAAACCCAAGAACGATCAGCAGGACCGTAACCTTTCCAAACAACCAAGTACTGTAAAGTGCCCCGAGAAAACCTAGAATCCACGATAGAAGATACCTCATACTCTTCCTGACCACCCACCACCACCGGAGGGGGAGGAACACAAGGAACAGTATATCTATTGCAGACAAGAGGTTTGAGTAAGGACACATGAAAAGTGTTGGGAATCCCTAAAGATGCAGGAAGAGCCAGAGAGTAAGACACTGGATTGATCCTACGAAGCACTCTATAGGGACCAAGGAATCTGGGGGCAAACTTCATGCTAGGGACCTTAAGCTTGATGTTGCGAGATGACAACCAAACCCGGTCCCCCACTTGGTACACCGGGTTGGCACTCCTACGCTTATCAGCAAAATGTTTGAAGCGTTCAGCAGCAGCCCCTAGAGCAGTTTGAACCTTAACCCAGGTATCCCGAATGGAGGCCAGACGCTCATCCAGAGCAGGAATGGCAGTATCAGAAAATACCGCAGGGAGAACCGTAGGATGCCTACCATTATTGACAAAAAATGGACTGTGCCCAGAGGAGTCATGAACAGCATTGTTTCTAGCGAACTCGACCCACGGGAGTAGTTCGGACCAATTGTCTTGTGTGCTATTAATAAAACATGCAAATAAACTTCTAATGACTGGTTAGCCCTCTCAGCTGTACCATTGGTCTGTGGATGGTAGGAGGAGGAGAAGGAGAGCTCAATCCCCAATTGTTTACTGAACGCCCTCCAGAACCTGGACACAAACTGAGAGCCCCTATCAGACACAATATTGTGGGGGATGCCATGCAAACGGACAATTTCACGTATGAAAATTAGGACCAAATCTTGCGAAGATGGCAACTTCTTGAGAGGAATGAAGTGAGCCATCTTAGAAAATCGGTCTACAACCATGAGAATAGTAGTGAACCCAGCAGAGCTAGGAAGCTCAACAATAAAGTCCATGGATAGGTGGGACCATGGAATCTCAGGAACAGGAAGAGGCTGCAACAGGCCACAAGGAAGTGCATGAGTCACCTTAGAAACTGCACACACAGAACATGCCTGCACATACTCCTTTACATCTTTCCTGAGTGAATCCCACCAAAATGATCTAGTGATCGCGGCAGTGGACTTATTGATGCCCGGGTGTCCAGCAGTTATATTGTCATGGAACACTTTCATGATATTAACCCTTTCACATAGGGGAACGAACAGTTTATCACACGGTTTACCACTGGGCGCCTGAGGCTGGGCCTCCAGTATGGTGCCAAGCAGTGGAGAAGACAGTGAGAGGACAGTAGTAGCAATAATACACTCTGCTGGAATAATAGGAGATGTCATCTGTTCCGGAGCTGACTCATTATCAAATTGCCTGGACAAGGCATCAGCCTTGGTATTTTTAGAACCAGGTCTATAAGTAATGAGAAAGTTAAAACGTGAAAGGAACAGTGACCATCTAGCCTGTCTGGAAGACAAACGTTTGGCATCCCCTATATATGCCAGATTTTTGTGGTCGGTTATGATCAACAGGGGGTCCTTGGAACCCTCCAAAAGATGTTGCCACTCCTTGAGGGCAAGAATAATGGCCAACAGTTCTCTATTGCCAATATCATAGTTGCGCTCAGCAGGAGACATCTTTCTGGAGAAGTAGCCACAAGGATGCAATGGTGTTCCCTGGCTTTCTCTCTGAGAGAGAACAGCCCCTACCCCTGTCTCGGATGCATCAACCTCCAATATAAAAGGTTTACTGGTGTCAGGATGTTTTAGTATGTCCGCAGAGGCAAATCTTTGTTTAAGAGTCTCAAAAGCATTCACAGCCTCTTTGGACCATACCGTGCTACTAACCCCTTTGCGAGTCATATTTGTGATTGGGGCTATTACAGAAGAAAATCCCTTGATGAATCTTCTGTAATAGTTGGCAAAACCAATAAACCTTTGAATGGCTTTTAAACCAGAGGGTAATGGCCAGTGTAGTACAGCCTCTAGTTTTTTAGGATCCATTTGAAATCCCGATGCAGAGATGTTGTAACCCAAAAAGTGGACTTCAGGCTGGTCAAATATGCACTTTTCTAATTTACAATAAAGTTTATTTTTCAACAACGTCTGCAGAACCTGTTTCACATGGGAGTGGTGAGTTTGAAGATCAGGGGAATACACCAAAATATCGTCCAAATAAACCAAGACAAATGAGTAAATGAATTCCCTGAGTACATCATTTATAAAGTCTTGGAATACGGCCGGGGCGTTGCATAACCCAAATGGCATTACCAGATATTCATAGTGTCCACTACGGGTATTAAATGCCGTCTTCCACTAACCAAATTGTAAGCGCTCCTAAGGTCAAGCTTAGTAAATACTTTAGCTCCCTGAAGTCTATCGAACAATTCGGAAATGAGTGGAATAGGGTATGCATTTTTTACAGTGATTTTATTAAGTGCCCTGTAGTCTATGCAAGGGCGTAACTCACCACCCTTTTTCTCAACAAAAAAGAATCCTGCACCAGCTGGTGAGGATGACTTTCTTATGTGCCCTTTGCTCAAGGATTCTTTGATGTATTCCTCCATTATTTTACTCTCCTGGGGAGATAAGGCATAAACTGCCCCCTTAGGTGGCATAGCGCCTGGAAACAGGTTAATGGCACAGTCATATGCTCTGTGGGGAGGCAATACATCGGATTGAGCCTTGTTAAACACCTCCTGAAGTTCTCGGTATTGTATGGGAACTCCAGGAGTTTGGGGAGTGGTAGTGGGAAGGTCAATAGTATCCAATCTCTTTAGTACTGGTTTTATACATCTCCCCATACACTCTTTACCCCATTCTAATATCTCCCCATTAGCCCAGTCAATATAGGGATTGTGCTTACTCAGCCACGGAAACCCTAATATGATAGGACATGATGGAGAAGTAATAACCTGAAACGTCATCTCCTCCCTATGGGAGGCCCCAATGGAGATCGTAATAGGGACAGTTTCGTGGGTTATAAGCGGTTGTGTGAGTGGTCTACCATCAATAGCCTCTACAGCTAGCGGCGTAGGTCTCTCCCTGACCGGTATCTCATTACCCCTAATAAACTGGACATCAATAAAATTTCCAGCAGCACCTGAGTCCATTAGGGCACTGCAAGAAAACTTCTTGTTATCAAGGGAAATAGATACCTCAAGGAGGAATCTACTTTTGTTTTTGTTAGAGGACAACTCCATCACACCTAAGATCTGTCCCCTTAAGGTTCTTAGGTGCGGAAGTTTTCCGGACGCACTGGACAATTAGTTATCATATGTCCCTTTCTACCGCAATATAGGCATAACCCCTCCCTTCTCCTATACTGTTTTTCGGCCTCTGACAGTCTAGTGACCCCCAACTGCATAGGTTCGGGTTCGGACTGTACAGGGAGGTTAGACAAAACAGGTTTAGAGAATTGAGGTGCTAGGGACATAGCCGTACGTCTGGTCTTGCTTCTGGTGACTTCTCTGAGTCTTAACCTATTATCAATATGCATGACAAACGTAATAAATTCGTTAAGACTCTTAGGTAATTCTTTAGCGGCTATCTCATCTAGTATAGTCTCTGAGAGACCCTTTTTGAATGCTGAGATTAACCCATTGTTAGTCCAGTCTACCTCGGAAGCTAAGGTACGGAATTCAATAGCATAATCCGAGATAGACCGGTTACCTTGTCTGATGTGCATTAGGGCAGTGGAGGCGTCATCCTCTCTACCCAATGGCTCAAACGTGAGCTTGAATTCGGCAAGGAATTCCTGGTAATTATGAGCTATGCTCCGATTACTCTCCCACAACGGATTAGCCCAGGCAAGGGCCTTGCCCTTTAATTGATTCATTAGATAACCAATTCTTGCTCTGTCCGTGGGGAATGACCCTGGTGAGGCCTCAAAATGGTACTCCACCTGATTAAGAAAACCCCTGCATTCCTGGATATTGCCATCAAACTGTAGGGATGGTGATAAGGAGATGCAAGGAGTCCTATTAACAGTGGGTGGAGGTACACAGGGTAGAGGTGCTATAGGAGGAGACGCTGCAGGCTGCAGATGCTCCGTTCTAGCGAGAAGCGTACTTAAAGCCTGAGTGAATTGATCCATGCGGTGATCATTCTCCTCTAATTTCCTCTCGCAAGCAGCTATGTGCTGACACAGTTCTACAGGATCTATGGCCATGTCGTAATGTCAGGATTACTGTTTGATCCAGCACGTAGAACTGTACAGCACGGATGACAAATAAGTAACATATTACCGGTCCTTAGAATGGCCGGATTTAACGTACAAAGAATAGTCAAAAATACTAGCCGAGGTCAGGGAACACAGAAAGGGACACAGCGATGAGGAAAGCCAGGAGTCAGGATACCAGAATATAGAGAAGTCAATAAACAAAGCCAAAGTCAAAAACCAGGTAGAAAACTATAAACAGGAACGCGCTCTCAGACAACCACAAGGGAAACCACGACAGGGCACTGAGCAGGCTGAGAACTGGGCCTAAATACCCCTCCTTTAGTTCTGATAGGCTGTAACTGGCCTTTGACCCCAAAGTCAGTTACCAGGTTTCATTTGCATAATTGCTGCTCAGCATTAACCCTTCTGTGGATTAGGTTGCTGCTCGGCACAACTTTTCCTGTGTGGACAGTAAATGTCATTAATCACTTTTCTCTAAGCGGATGAATACATGACACCAGGTTTCATTTGCACAATTACTGCTCAGCATTAACCCTTCTGTGGATTAGGTTGCTGCTCGGCACAACTTTTCCTGTGTGGACAGTAAATGTCATTAACCACATTTCTATAAGCGGATGAATATGTGACATACCCCCCATGTAAAGGTTTTATGGTGTTTTGGAAAGTTACGGGGTTAAATATAGGGTTCGCCAATTAAATTCTATGGACTTTCTGCCTGGGTTGTCAGGTAGGTCCCTCAAATAATAATAAAATCAAATAATTATATTTTTAATAATTAAATATATATGTAGAATGTGTGTCCGTGTGTATATATATATATATATATATGTATAAAGTTTTATTTTTTTAATGTATAATATATATGTGTCTAGCCAGCCTCCTACCCCAGGACTATGGGCCATGGAACCGGCTCATTAAAAGACTTGGTTTTTGGGATTTATTTGTTCTCTTCGGGAACCGAAGCAACTCACAAACTGCGAACCACCTCTGTACTTGTTAACCTCTCCTGAAACTTCTATCAACGTGGGTTCTAATTGCGCTGCTGGGTGGCTGCCGTTTGTATGCACAAACACGTGGGAACTGTGCGGCAGCCATCTTGTTCGCGAGAATGCAGGCAGCGGTGTTTGGGTGTCGATCGCATGGAACTCAAATCGGACACTGAAACTCCTGAACATCGCTGAACTTTGACGAACGCCTGCTTCTTCCCCACACATGTCAGGAGAGCGCAGTTCGATAGGTTTGTCCGTATGAACCAGATGAACAAACGCTACCAACAAGCCAGAGTGTGCATTCGGTATTTCTTTCACATTGAGCTCCCGAAGTTGACCGGCAAAATCACCAAACGCCCTGAAACTGTTTTGGGCATAGGACCATGTGTGCGGCCCGTCAGAACTTTGCCCCGGTGGCGTTTCGGCTATGTTTCTGGGATCTGAGCGCTTTTTTGGATATGTTGGGCGCCCAGATCCAGGCTATTATTATTATTATTATGATAGTTATATAGCGCCATCAAATTCCGCAGTGCTTTACAATGGGTGGACGAACAGACATGTAGTTGTAACCAGACAAGCTGGACACACAGGAACAGAGGAGTTGAGGGCCCTGCTCTATGAGCTTACATGCTAGAGGGTGTGGGGTAAAATGACACAAAAAGGTCAGGATAGTATTAGACTAGTGACAATTGCAGAAGAGGAATCAGTCAGGAGCTATTAACAGTTTAATTGATACGCTTTTATGAAGAAGTGGGTTTTTAACGAGTTTTTGAAGGAGTGGAGACTGGGTGAGCATCTAACGGAGGAGGGAAGAGAGTTCCACAGGAAAGGTGCAGCCCTCAAGAAATCTTGAAGGCGAGCATCAGAGTTGGGAGTACGGACAGAAGATAGACGTAAGTTTTCAGCAGATCATAAGGGCCTAGACCCGACATACTTGTGTATAAGGGAGGATAGATAGGTGGGAGCAGCATTATGTAGAGATTTGAAAGCAAGAACCAGAATTTTAAATTGAGCTCTATATTTTATAGGAAGCCAATGTAGGGACTGACAGAAGGGTGAGGCATGGGAGGTGCGGACGGACAGGAAGATGAGCCTCGCTGCCGCATTCATTATGGAATGTAACGGCGCAAGTTGGGAGCACGTAAGACCACTGAGAAGCGGATTACAGTAGTCAAGGCTAGAAAGGACAGTGGAATGGACCAACACCTTAGTCGCATTTGGGGTTAAGTAGGGGCGGATGCACGCAATGTTTTTAAGATGGAAATGACAGGATTTGGCGATAGATTGAACATGAGGCTTGAAGGAGAGGTCGGAGTCAAAGAGAAAACCTAGGCAGCGAGCCTGTGTGGTGGAGCTGATGGTAGCACCGTTGACTTGGAGGGAGACAGACACAGGAGTAACAACACTTGAGGGAGGAAAGACCAGAATTTCAGTTTTGGTCAAGTTTAGTTTAAGGAAATAGTAGAAAGGCAGTCAGAGACACTAGTCAAGAGGGACGGGGAGAGATCAGGAGAGGACAGGTAGATTTGCATGTCATCTGCATAGACATTATATTGGAAGCCAAAGGAGCTAATGAGTTTACCAAGGTAGGCAGTAGAGATGGTTAGAGAACTGTATGGGACCAAGGACTGAACCTTGGGGGACACCAACAGAGAGGAGTTTGGGAGAAGAAGCAGAGCCAGCGAAATAAATATATAAAATTAACGTCATTCTAAGTGTATTTTAATATATATATATATTATATTAAATATATATTAAAATACACTTCGAATAATGGATTGGGTATGTGTATATAAAATTACTTAGATCATATATATATATATATTTATATATATATACTAGGAAAAATCCTTGCACCCTGGCTGTACAGGTATATACTTGCTGGGTGCTCAGCCTGGGACTTTAGTTTATAAAAATAGTGGTACCCCCCCCATGTAAAGGTTTTATGGTGTTTTGGAAAGTTACGAGGTTAAATATAGGTTTTGCCAATTAAATTCTCTGGACTGTCTGTCTGGGTTGTCAGGCAGGTCCTCAAATAATAATAAAATCATACAGGGACTGAAACGTCGATCTCATGTTTTAACCTTGCTAATAAAAGAAGATTTTGAGTGAAGACCGTTGAGTGCTGCCATCTCTACCACTATCTATATATATATATATATGATCTAAGTACTTCTATTACATTTATAAAGTGTTTTAAAACTTTATTTTAACTATTAAAACCTTTTTGCAGGCATGAGGGGGACAGCCTGAGAGCTCAAGCAGGCCCCCTGCAGGCACTGCAAAAGCTGGCTATTCCGGCCATGTGATCGCGAGGACCCTGCCTGGGATGCCAGGCAAATCCCCACATCGCGATGGCCAGCGATATGGGAAGTGCATAGTTTGCCACGGACATACATCCGAGGTCGTTAACGACCATTTTTTGTCGGACGTACTTGGTACGTCCGCGGTCGGGAAAGGGTTAACAAAGCATGATTTCTTATTATTAGCATTTACATAGCGCAATATATTCCAAGGCTTTTTACAGTTAGAGTTACAGTTAGAGAATGGAAATATTTGAGAACAATTAAATCAAAATAATACTGACAAAGACAAGAGGTGAAAAAGGCCCTTCGCAAACAAGCTTACAATCTATGAGTAATTGGGATGAATGATCTGTTTTCTTATTTTTACTGTGTACATTAATCCATTGACCTTCTCGGGTCTGGAAATTCACAGCTGAATCTCAGATATCAAAAATGTGTCTTATCTGTAGTCAATGTGGTTTCTGCTGTATGTAAATAAAATGATGGTATGAATGTACACATTAATTACTTGCATGTAAACTGTGCCTGATCAGCATCTACATCCCTTCTCTCCGAGCCAGTTCTCCTGCTCTATCAGACTTGGCATACACCATGTGGCTCGATTGGGAACGCCAAGGACCCTGCTCTGGAATCTAAGACGGTACTTAAAATAATGAACTTGAGGCTAAAACAAATGGGTTTCATGTTACAAAGTCTGGGATTTTCTCTGACAGGTCTCTCTGGGGCATCCGAGAGGAATGTTTTAATACTGCTTAGTTTAGCTATTCGGATTTCTGAGGTTAGGAAAAAGGTTCATCCAAGCCCAGGCCTCTGCCAGACACAGCTAGAGTCCCACTCCGATACTGTTGTTATTCTGCAAGGCTGATGTTATTTTGTTAAATTCAATTAATAAAACACAACAGAGCATCTGCTCGAATATCTTCATAGTCTTGTTGGTCTTTCACCAGTGATTTGGGAGACGGAGAATTGGCTCTTCTTTGGGAGCTGGAGTGACCGTGTAGTTTGAGGTCATTTTTTAACAGGCCTGTCTAGTGGTAAAGATCGACATGGGAAAATTACGAGGTTTGACTCTTGGGAGTGGAATACTGAGCCATGCCAATCCGTTCTATGATTGTGTGGATGTTGTTGGCGTCCCTTCATCCTACCGCCTTCTTCTACCTCCCGACCATTGCTTTTTTCTAAGCCAAAGCACAGAGCAAACAAAGTAGTTCATTATTTATCAATACATTATTCAGATCAATTGTAACGTTTACATTATTGACAGTTGCCAAGTAATCTACCAAATACCCATTGTTCTTTTGTGGCACAGCTCCTTTCAATCAACTGTGTAACAATCTTAATGATGTATAAACTGTATTACAAGCTTATATTATATTAAAAGAAAACTATAGTGTTAGGAATACAACACCCCCAGCCTGTGGGAAATAAAGGGCCTGAAAAAACCTTTTTACACTTATCCGATTCCAGGGCCAATATCCCTCGACGCTGGGTCGCGCACCTACTCTGCCTGCATCAACCAATGTGGGGAACCTAATGCACATGCAGGCATTAGGCCTTCCTGATAGGAACACATGCTTTCCTGTGGGGATTTTGTAGATGCTGGACATCCTCATGCAAACTCTGTGAACTGCAGGAAGCGCCTCTAGTGGCTGTCTGGTAGATAGTCACTAGGGGCAAACTTAAACCTGCAGACCACTCCAGTGAGATGAAGGGTGCCCATAGTGTCCCTTTAAAAAAAAGTTTAAAAAATTTAAATAGCAGCTCCAGCTTTTGTCGTTTAACCCCTTAAGGACACATGACATGTGTGACATGTCATGATTCCCTTTTATTCCAGAAGTTTGGTCCTTAAGGGGTTAAACTAGCAAAATGGCTGCTCCCTGGCATGCTTTTGTTTTGTCTATATGTGATTTAGTGCATTTTATTTCATGTAAGGAGTTTCATTTATTTGCTGATTTTCCTTTAACCCCCTAAGGACCAAACTTCTGGAATAAAAGGGAATCATGACATGTCACACATGTCCTGTCCTTAAGGGGTTAAACTGTCTTTCTAAATAAAAGATCCAGCCCTTCTAAGTATCTTGTTTTTTTTTAACGTACGTTTCACAGCTAATTATGTCTAAGAGATTATTTGCAAACTAAATATAGCTGAGCTGAAGAATTATGTTATTCTTGACTAAATTATTCAGTCGATTCACTGTTTAGTGACTTAACCTCTCTGTTTTTTTTTCTAATTTGGAATACGGTGCTATTAGTTAGAAGCCATTTTACCTCTGCAAAGCGCTCTGTCTTGCATCATGCTGTTATTTTTATTTCAAATGCAGGCTAGTTTCCACCGTGAGAGTTTAGTAGATGTGGGTTTATTATTGCCATTATGCAGCCTGGTGGTGTGAAACCATCACATTTTGAGATTTAGTATGTTCCGCGGTAATCATCTCAGCACAGTGGTTCTCAAACTGAGCACCTTGCAAGCACTGACAGTATTTACATCTGGATATCGCAGAATTTCACCCTGTGTACAAGGCCACAATCTACCAGCCTCCGACCTTCTGTTCGCAGAACCCTTTACCATGGAGGAACCACAATCTCAGCATGCAGCCAACATCTCCTAACAAGAACCACATGTCAGCAACTGCACCTAGACATATCGTGGGGTGAATTAAGGACGATGCCGTGGCCTTAATGTTAAGCCACTTGGCGTTTGCGGGATTCTGTTGCGTTCCGACAACCCCTGTGTTATTCCAACATGTGTTTCTTTGGCCATTGTCCTGCTGCAGGGATTTTGGAAGGGAGATATTTGAAGGTAGGATGGACTGTGTTTTGTTTGGTTCAGACATTTTCAGATTTTTTTTTTTTTTTTTTTGCTATGTTCTTCTTTTTTTTTTTTTTACTTTCGGCAGAGCATCAAATATGCCTAGTGCTCTCCTCCAGGGGAGATATATTTCAGAGTGCATGCGGGGACAGTAAGGGAAATCCCACACTGTTACAAGCTTGTAACAGGCCTTGCAGGTTAATACAGTTCAGTGTTGCAAAGCGAGTGTTGTTAGAAGCCATTGTTATCCCTAACGGAGTAGCTGTCTGGGACTGCCGCGGGCTCAGCGATTGGACAAGCTCAGTATCGTGATTGGTGAGCAGTACAATAGATGTCCTGGGAGACGTCAAAACTAAACCATGCTTTGGATGAATTTGTGTATATTGCTTTGTTTTGAATTTCTCCCTTTAGCTCTGCTCTGCCTGTCTTTTTTTTTTTCTCTTTTTTTTTTAAAAAGGGGAATTAATTGGAAATATGAATTCCAGCCAGGCTACAGACATGTAGACAACTAAAACCCTTGTTTCTCCACGCATTTATCACAAGCATAAACTGGAAGATTATTCACATCCACAGTTAGTAAAAACATGTCTATCCAGTTAAAGTTTTTTGTCGCTCTGTCAGAAAGTAGTCTTTTTAGTTGTTAACAGAGGATATGCCTGTTGAAATGAAATATAAAAAAATAGGAATGTCTGTGGAATAATCGAGTATTAGAAGAAGAAAAAACAGATTATAAATAGACTTTTCTTACTCACATAGAACAGTTCAGGCTTCAGCCTTTACCATATTACATCCAAGACAAGACCAGAACATGGATCATAAGTTTTGACATTATCACACGATCCCCTATCTCTACCAGAATATTGAGTGGACTTGTGATTACGGTTGGGGAATGAGAAGTACCCTCCTGTAAAGCCAACATTGCCATTTGTCACACTAAAGCCCTAAGTCGCGCCAATTTTTTTAGAACTCCGGAATTTTTTTTTAAATTAAATCCAGAAATGTCACCCCTGTACTGAGTGTTTGGGTCAGTGAGGGAGGATTTGATCTGCCGAGCAGATTGTTGAAACGTGTTTATTTGTTTAGATCAGGGGTCGTCAACCTGGTTCCTACCGCCCACTTGTGGGTTCTACGGCACAAGCAGAATCCTCCCTCCATCTAGAGAGATGAACACTCTATTCATTTCTCGCGCATTTAGTAGTTAGCAGGAAGTGTGGGCATGCAGATGAAAGCGCAAGAACGCGCACGTACGTGTGCGCACATACAGACATGTGCGCACGCGAATGAGTAACACACAGGTAGAGAAAGGGGAGGAATTGTAAAATAGGAGAAAGAAAGAGCAGAGTACTTGTAGAATAGGAGAAAGAAGGAGCAGAGTACTTGTAAAAAAGGAGAAAGAAGGAGCAGAGTACTTGTAGAATAGGAGAAAGAAGGAGCAGAGTACTTATAGAATAGGAGAAAGAAGGAGCAGAGTACTTGTAAAAAGGAGAAAGAAGGAGCAGAGTACTTGTAGAATAGGAGAAAGAAGGAGCAGAGTACTTATAGAATAGGAGAAAGAAGGAGCAGAGTACTTGTAAAAAGGAGAAAGAAGGAGCAGAGTATTTGTAGAATAGGAGAAAGAAGGAGCAGAGTACTTGTAGAATAGTAGAAAGAAGGAAAATACAAAAAAAAGGAAGGAGAAGGAGAGAATTGTTGTTGGCTAATAATAGTAAGAGGGCTACCTAGCTCAGCCTTCCTGCTGGGAATTGCTATAAAGGAAGGTAATAATAAAGGAAAAGGAGGAAAAAAAGATAGAAAAAAATGGTGGTGGGGAATTGAGGAGGTAGAGGAGGGGAGATGATGCATGGATGAGAAGTCATATTATGAGCAAACAGAGAAATCGTCTGAATATCACCGAAAGAGGAGACCTTTGTTTGTTCCTTATGAAAATCGAACCAGATATGAAATATTTAGTCTCGCAGCACCTGCTTCAAGGATCTCATTACTCACTAGTTAAAGGTAATTTCAATTTACTTTGTTTTCTCATTAAACTTTAAAAAGTTAAAAACATTATAAACATGCATAAAGTAGAAATAAAAATATAAATTTAAGTACTTTTTTTTAACCCCTTAAGGACACATGACATGTGTGACATGTCATGATTCCCTTTTATTCCAGAAGTTTGGTCCTTAAGGGGTTAAACACCCTCCTTTCTAAAAAAAAATATTCTGCACTTGTGCTAAAAAAAAACGAAAACTATTGGGCGGTAAGGAAATTTTCCCATCAAGAAAGATGCATTAGTAAGCGGTAGATATAAAAAGGTTGACTACCCCTGATTTAGATATACGCCAATACAAAAGATCTCTGGGAAAGTAATTCACAAATTCTCCTGAGATTACATCAAAACGCATTAAAATTATTGCCACTTACACACTGACATGATACATAAAAAAACAAAACAAGATCCAATGTGTCTGATTACCGACCTGTTAAGTCGCATGCTGGAGGTGTTCCTCTTTTTTTAAGAGAAAGCACCTAAATGATATTGCAGAAGGTCTTGATGGTAAGGTATGTCTTTTTGCTGATGATACTAAGATATGTAACAGGGTTGATGTTCCAGGAGGGATAAGCCAAATGGCAAATTATTTAGGTAAATTAGAAAAATGGTCAGAGTTGTGGCAACTGACATTTAATGTGGATAAGTGCAAGATAATGCATCTTGGACGTAAAAACCCAAGGGCAAAGTACAGAATATTTGATAGAGTCCTAACCTCAACATCTGAGGAAAGGGATTTAGGGGTGATTATTTCAGATGACTTAAAGGTAGGCAGACAATGTAATAGAGCAGCAGGAAATGTTAGCAGTAGAAAGAGGGAAGTGCTCATGCCATTGTACCGAACACTGGTGAAACCTCACTTGGAGTATTGTACGCAGTACTGGAGACCGTATCTTCAGAAGGATATTGATACTTTAGAGAGAGTTCAGAGAAAGGCTACTAAACTGGTTCATGGATTGCAGGATAAAACTTACCAGGAAAGGTTAACATGTATAGCTTGGAGGAAAGACGAGACAGGGGGGATATGATAGAAATATTTAAATACATAAAGGGAATCAACACAGTAAAGGAGCAGGCCATATTTAAAAGAAGAAAAACTACCACAACAAGAGGACATAGTCTTAAATTAGAGGGGCAAAGGTTTAAAAATAATATCAGTAAGTACTACTTTACTGAGAGCATAGTGGATGCATGGAATAGCCTTCCAGCTGAAGTGGTAGAGGTTAACACAGTAAACGAGTTTAAGCATGCGTGGGATAGGCACAAGGCTATCCTAACTATAAGATAAGGCCAGGGACTAATGAAATGAAAGTATTTAGAAAATTGGGCAGACTAGATGGGCCGAATGGTTCTTATCTGCCGTCACATTCAATGTTTCTATGTTTAAATAATACTTTATATTATCAGACTCATAGCTTCTTAATCCACTTCTGGTCTAGGGAATTGTCGAACACTAGTCCACAAGACTGAACTATTTTGCTGTGGTCAGAAGTTGCCTGCAACTGATTAGTGTAGCGGTACTTACCCTTTCCAGGGGCCGGCCGGGGTCCTCTGTTTGAGCCGCGCGCGGCCCATCCGACAGCTGTAACAGGAAGGCGGGCAGTGACCGCGAGAAGCGGACACGTGTCCCGCCTAACTCTAAGAGCGCGCCGCGGGTCTCGGGCGCGCTCTTAAAAGGACAGTGGGAGCCTAAATTGGAAAAGGCATCCCATTGGTCCCTGTCATGCCACACTCCCCATACACTTACCTTTTGGGGGCGTGGATGTGACAGGGACCAATCAAATGAGTTGTTTAGGTATATATACTCACCTTTTTCCCTTAGTTCATTGCCCTATTGTGGTTTCTGTTTCAGTTCCCTTTAGCGCTTGTTGTGTTCAGTTGTGTTCCTTCGTACTTGACCTTGGCTTTGTTTCTGACTATGTTATCTCTTTATCCTTATCTGTTCTGTTTGCCGGCTTGCTGTTTTTCTGTGTACCAGACCCCGGCTAGTCCAAGTTTACGCTGTCTCTTTGTGTCCTTGACCTCGGATCGCTCCTGACTCTGTATCTCTCTCCTTTACGTCGAGTCCGGCCACTCTAAGGTCCGGTAGACGTACCTTCCCTCTGTGCTGACATTTGTTTAGCTTAAATTCTGCGTGTTGGGGTATATTTTCGTTACATTACGATAGGGCCATGGACCCCACAGATTTAGCTCAGCAGATGGCTTCTCATGAGGCTAGATTTGTAGAGCAGGATCACTGTATGGATCAGCTAGCCCAGGCTCTCCAGACGCTCTTATCTAGAACTATTCCAGCAACCACACCTAACCCTCCTACACCTCTTCTTCCTGAAGTGTCTACTTTGCCTAATGCTTCGGCCCATTTAACACCTCCTCCTAGGTATGGAGGGGACTCTAAAACATGCAGAGGTTTCATTAATCAAATAGAATTCCACTTTGAGATGTATTCATGTTCCTTTCCCACAGAAAGGTCTAAAGTGGGGTTCCTTATGCACCAATGGACCTATGGTGCACAATTTCAATAGTTTCCTTACGGCTTTTCGTAGGACTTTTGACACAACTAAAAGGTCAAAGAATGCCGCCAGAACATTAATGAGAATTAAACAGGGTTCTAGGTCTGTTGCTGACTATGCCATTCAGTTTCGTACCCTTGCTTCACAGGTAGATTGGACCAACAATGGGCTAACAACTGCATTCATGGAAGGTTTATCTGACACTATATTGGATGAGGTAGCGGCTAGGGAGCTTCCTATTGCATTAGAGGACCTTATTGACTACTTCATTGATATAGATAACAGGATTCGTGACAGACTCTATACTAAAAACCGGAATAGACGTTTGGTTACACCTATTAACCCCAGAGTTGATAAACCTGAGACTGTCAAAGTATCACAGGACGAACCCATGCAATTAGGGGTTGCCAAACTCTCTGAAACTGAAAAATTACATAGGAGAAGGGACGGACTCTGCCTATACTGTGGTAGGAGAGACCATATGATAAAAGAATGCCCCGTGCTTCCGGGAAACTCTCGCACCTAAGGCCTTATAGGGGACTAGCCTTGGGTGTGATATCTAAGTCTCCTAAATTGCCTCCTAACCGTTTGCTTCTTCCTGTTTCTTTGTATATGGGAGAGGGTTGCATAGCTGAGCACATACAAGCCTTGGTTGACTCCGGGGCAGCTGATAATTTCATGGACTCAGGTTTTGTTAAGAAAAACAACATTCCCATCAGAGAGAAGGAGATACCCTTGGCCGTTGAGGCCATAGATGGTAGACCATTAAGTTCTCCAGTTGTTACTCATGAAACTGTACCATTACACATGTATACAGGGGTTTTACACTTTGAAACCATTCGGTTCCAGGTCATCACATCTCCCTCTTCTCACATCATGTTAGGGTACCCATGGTTACGTACTCACAATCCCATTTTCGATTGGGAGTCAGGGCAAATAAAATCATGGAGCGATGCCTGCCATGAGTCTTGTACTATTGAAGTCACCCCTTTGAATTCTATTAATGTTCCTACTACTCCTCCTTTGTCTACCGTTATACCCCCTCAGTACTTATTTCTCAAAACTGTCTTTGATAAAAGGGAGGCTGACAAACTACCGCCTCACAGACCCTACGATTGTGCTATCGATTTATTGCCTGGCACAATACCTCCAAATACCTGCCTGGCACAATATCTCCTTT